GATACAGTTCCCAAAGCCATAAACAGGGACGTCAATAAGATTTATAAAAAGGTGCTTCAACATTGGGGAAAATCTATCAACAGCGAGGCCAAAATGACAGAGTCTATGTTGCCTTTGTAATATGAGCAAAACAATCATCGAAAGAGCCTGCAAATACACAAGAAATGATTCGGAAATCATCCAGTGTCATATTACAGCTGATGTCATTAGTTCACTAAAATAAATAAGAAAAGCGAATGCTCTTTTATTCATTTTGATACTTGCAAATTCTACCCATCTATCACCGAAAAGTTACTAAAGGCTGCGATAAATCTATCCAACAATTACTTCCCCATGAGCCAACAGGGCATTAATATCATTAAACAGGTCCAGAGACTCATCCTCTATGGACCAATCGCAACAACCCTGTTATTAGCATTGCCATGGGTGCGTTTGACTCAGCAGAAGTTTATGAATTAGTTGGTATCCTACAACTTTGGCGACTAAGGTACATCTTCGGCATCAATAACACTGGCCTCTGTATAGTAGATGGTATAATACTCCTGCGTAAAACAAGTGCACGAAAAACAGACCGACTGAGAAAGAGCCTAATTAAATTCTTTAAAGACCACAGTCTGAGTATTACAACTACCACCAACGCTAAAGTGATCAACTTTCTGGATTTAATCTTGGACCTATCCAATGTATTTTATAAATCGTATACTAAAGATTTATACAACCATAGATACATCAACAAACAATCTAACCACTATCCGAGAATACTAAACAATTTACCATAAATCGGTCCAATTTATGTTATCTACCAAATCTAATAATAATGATATTTTTGACAAGCATAAAAGCAAATATGTAGAAAACCTAAAACAAAGTAAGCATAATATTAACCGCGTGTTTATGGACAATAACAATAACGATATCCACAAGCCAAAACACTGTAAACGCAATATCAGATGGTTTAACCCACCCTTCAGAAACAATGTCAATAATAATACCGGAAGAATTTTTCTGAATTTAATCCATAAGCACTTCAGCAATTCCCCAACACTAAAAAGATTTCCAATAAAAGCCATATGTGTGTTAGCTACAGTTGTCGAAAAAACATCAAGCAGTATTATAGCAGAACAACAATGTTATTCTACACAAACGTTTAACCAACCAACAAAGTAAAAACACCAGCACAACTAAAGAATGCAACTGCCGAAAAAATAAGCGCTGCTCATTAAGCAGCAAATGTATAAACAAAGCGTTAGTTTATAAAGTTAACATCAATTATGATGATCAAGTCAAGTTTTATTTGGGTTCAACTGAAAACCATTGAAAATTCCGTTTCTACCATCACCCAAATGATATTAAACAATATTAAATCACGTTTTCTGGAAAATAAAAAGCAAGAATAGAAAGCCAACTATCATTTGGGAGTACGACAGTGGGAAAGGCGATAAATATAGCTTATGACTTTCCGATACTAAAAAAATATGAACAATCCCAAATCTGTTAAAGAAAAGAAGCGATTTAATGAGTGCCTACTTACATAAATGTAAATTCCTATTCAAGCAAGTTAACCCAGATTAATATAGTTTTCCCAGTCTCGGACGCCAGAGATACTATTTTGATGTTGTTGTTATTATCATTATTTTCTATTTTTATTTTACTATTCTTTTTTACTATTTTCACTGTATAATCATTGTCACTATTCTTATTTTTTGTTATTCTGATGTTATTTTAATCTTGTTATTTTAAATATTTTTTTATTATTATTGTTATCTTTATATTTGTTATTATCTTTCCTTTTATTATCATTTTATCACTATATGACGTCCCTGAACACAGCCTTCGCTCGCTCCTCGCTGCTCCGTTCGGGTGTCGCCGCTCCAAACGTGACGTCCGCCTGTCGCGTCAGTCGTGTTGTCTCGTCCTGTGACGACCAACTGGCTTGGTATCGGTCGCGGCACCCAAATGTGACGTTCTAACCTTTTGGTGATTCGGATGGGAATCTGGTTAGATTCGATATCAGCCTCGTCGTTCCCAATTCGCTTCCAACGCCTGGTTACCAAATTAACTGCGTTGATCTCCAATCCGCGTACCCACGTTGTGAATCGATCTTAGGCAGACGAAATCAATCAGTCGTTGGGGCCGCAATGCAAGTTGGGTCCAAGCGGGGGTGGTATCGCAAAATACGTATAAAAGAAATAAAATGATAACTCAAAAGTTCAAGGTATCAAAGAAAAGGATAACAAACTTTATGTCTGGTTGTTTTGGATACATAGGACTGCGTCTATCTCCCGACCCGTTCTATGGTTGTGACACGTTGTTTTCCGTTAGACGAGTTTTAACACTTCAAGTTGTTTGCTCTTTAAGAAATTTTTTGGTGTGTCTTCGGGCGAAAGTCGGAAAAAACTTATTTTGGTGGTCTGGATCTAAGTCGCTCTTCAAAATAATTGTTCTTGGATTGAAGATGAGTCCGGAAATTGCGCGAATCTTGGTCAGCCGAGGCGAGGCTTGCTTCAACTGAGCACTGGAGACTGACTCTGGGAACCGCCAAAAACCGGGGTGTGTTTGTCGGCGCCGGGGGGTTCCTCGATAATTCTAAATACCTATCCACTTCTTTTATTTTTGGTTAGGAATTTTCCACTTCTTTCCATTTTTCGGGGAGTCTTCCCTTACTCCCACCTTCTCACCATGCTTCAGGGGGGTGTCGGCTGTCCTCCCCACTTCCTCGTGGCGACCTCTCATACACATCCTCTAAATGGGCGGTGACAGCTTCCTCCTTGCGTCACGTGATCACCACTCGGCCAATGATGTCCAGCCGGGGCGTGTACGATCCCGCGGGCTTTGTTTCAGGGAAAAAAAAATATCTTGCTTTAAAAAAAAATTATCTTTTTCTTTTCCTTTTCTTTCTTTTAATCGCAGTTCTCATTTTCTCTGGCCGCAAATAGAACAATGCGATCGGTGGTGGTCATAACTCCTGTTCTCACCTGGACTTCGTCAGTCAGATTATCGCTAATTATCAGAATGGGTGGTCTATTTGACACAACAAAATCGTCCGTCGCCTCGAAAAAAAAAAACATTTCTGATAACATAGTTTTATTATCGCAGCTAAAGATGTCTTGTCAAAAGAAAAACGGTCAGCCGTTACTTCGTGTGCGGCTTTGACACAATTAATTTTTCATATTATCCAAAGCCCTGTAGTTCACCTGTTTTTTTGTCAATTATCAAAATAACATTTTCAATTGGATTTTTTTTTTCTTTAGTCTGTCTGTGGTTTGCTTAATCAGATGTTTTCCCGCATTAGCGGTTTGTTTATGTATCCCCGATAACACAGCTCGTCGCCAGAACACAACGATTCCCTTATCCACTTAGAATTATTCTGCCATTGTAATGACAGTTTTTGCCATTTGCTACTTATCAAAATATCCTTTATCCATTGTCTCTTAGTCGTGGGTGTTCTACTTATCATCCACGTTTGGGTCTCGCCTCTCTTTTCCTTTCTTTCCTTCCTCTCTTTCCTTTCTTTTCTTTTTGCCTTGGTAAATGGTGCCACAACTACAAATATTTTTTTATTAATTTCTATTGATTTTATCACTATTTCTACGTAAAAGTAGAGTTACACTCTTCATCCTCAAATATATATTTTAATATCAGCGTCCGTTTTTAACGTAAATTAGAATTTCTAATTCTTATTTTCAATCTTAAATGTATCTTGAGCTAAAAATCAAATTCAAGATTATAGTATAGTGCAAGTAAATACTTAACAATAATAATAATAATAATGATAATAATAATAATAATAATAATAATAATAATAATACATCCAAACAATACATATCTCATGAAGACCAGAAATATTAATCAAACGGAGTAAATTCAAATCCGTACCTGATGATTGCATCAAGCTAGAGACTCTGAGTCGTACAAACGGTTCGGCGTGGTTTATTATTATATATATATATATATATATATATATATATATATATATATATATATGTGTGTGTGTGTGTGTGTGTGTTATATTGTATGCATGTTTTCAGTTAATTATTCAAACCATGAATCTAATGAGTGGGCTATGGATTGAACAAGTTATTATATTGTATGCTAGTTTTTAGCTAATAATTCAAACCAAAAATCTGATGATGCCTACAAAAAACCGTTAACTCGTGTCTATTGTTTAACAGATTATTATTATTTAGAAGCTTAATTATGTGCAATTTCTCATGGAGGCATAAAGGGCATGGGTCATCCCAAGTTTTACATGTTCTAGCCTTGTTAATAATTTTCCATTTAACTTTAGGTGTCCTATCTGAAGGAAACAAATAGGACACAATACAATATAACACCCTTCATAATCCATAATCCATAGCCCAAATAAATTGTTGAAATACCCTAAAAAAGATAACCCTTTATGAAGTCGTCAAAAAACAAACGTTACAACATTTTTTTTTTTATATGCACAAATCCCTTTCATAAAAAATAAAATAAAAAAATAAATAAATCTCCATAGACATGAAAACTAGACGAGGGTTAATACATCTTCCGTTTCAAATTTAGACACCCCCGCCTTTTCCTGACTTGACATCCACGAAAGTAACTCTATACTGATACTTATTATTAACACCCAACACCAGCCTACCCAACTTAATCAATTCGGCCTAGCTGTTACCATGGAAATTTTGATTTCAATTTTTAAAACACGTAAATTTCAGAAACACGTTTTTCCAAAAAATAAAAATTTCGCTTGAAGATGGAACAGAGCTTATTTCAACTCAATTTAATTTAAATAATTATATTGAAGTTTTCGGCTCTTGTTTTGAAACATGGGACTTCTTATGTCGCGATTTGGAATCATATTTTTAAATAAATATATATATATATATATATATATATATATATATATATATATATATATATATATATAACAAAAAAGAAAGAAAATGTAAGCAGAATCATGAAAATTAGATATTGACAAAACCGATTTGTGCTCGCGCATAAAATGACCTATGTCGCTAGATAGATAGATATGAAGAGATAGCGATAAATAAATAGATAGATATGAACAGACTATAATAGATAGATAGATAGATTACAAAAGAAAGAAATGAATTAATACAGCTATCCATGTAAATAGCTAAATATAGTAAATAATCTGAGAAAAAAGGAAGAAACACATTGCAATATTAGTAACAGATTAATAAAGAAAGAAGAAATGAAAAGAGAAAGAAAATAACAGACATAGCCTGCTAGATATAAACAGATTTGAAGGAATGCGCTTAGCAACTATAAGTTTATAGTGGGGTCCCAGACGTGGTTAAATGGATTGGATTCTACCAGTTTTAGCAATTAAAAATGACTTCTGTCTGCTGAAAATCAGTCGTCAAAATCTCGTTTCGTACCCACATTCGGACATCGACATCTTGCCTGAATTTATAAATATACAACTGTCTAAGCCACGGAGTAGTTTTACATGATAGCGTACGTGTTAAACTTCGAAACGATGATTCGAATTGCCAATTTTTTGAGGATTTATGCATTCACTTGTCTATTAACAACGGGCGTTTCTTTCAATAAATACAATATTTTATCAACATCGCCATTGTTGTCATGAGGCATTAACGGCCATAGTTTGGCAAAAGTCCGACGAGCGAGAAAGAAAGAAAAAGCTGAAATAATTAAGTCTCTTATCCAATGTTCTGGAAAAAATGGATTCGTACTTTATAAATATTTTGGCGATTTTATCTATGTATATATTTACACTTATTTTATTTACTATTTCGGGGTTTGTACACTTTTTTTATTAACCACGGGTATAAATATCTGCGAAGTGTTTTAACAGAGGACGGAAAGTGCGACGCCAAAATGCGAAGGTGTATTGGAATAGGCAAAGATGCTTTCCAAAAGATAAGCAAAGTATGAAGAATCACAATAATAAAGGTTAGAAACAAAGATAAGAGTACTGAAATGTTATGTAATATCAGTTCCAATATATGGCAGTGAATGTGGAACCTTCAACTCACAGATGAAGAAGAGACTTGAAGCAACAGAGATGTGGTTCTACAGAAGGATACTGGGAATACAATGGACTAAACATTGGATAAACGACGAAGTTTTAGAGAAAATGAAAAAAAAGACGAAATCCATACTTAACATGACTAGGAGATAGGAAAGTTTTCTCGGGAAAATGATGAGGAAAATATACTTGAAGAATTTGATATTCACAGGAGAGACTGAAGGCAAGATAGACCAAGGGTAAGAACCCATAATCTACCTAGAGAGTAAACAGATGACGGATCAAAATTTGGGAAAGATAACAAAAATTTAACATTTATTAAGAGCTGAAAAGTTTAAGAAATTATGGAGAACAATGATCTTCAACGACCTGAAAGGACACGGTACACATGCATTAAGGATGTGAAATTGACAGTGTCAATGGAATGTAAGAATTAAAACGCTTGGATAATGGCTCAGGGTGAGAAATTGAAGAACTGAATTCATATTCGAAACAGGTTCGTTATATTCACTGACAAAAATATCCTTGGGCTATCATGAATCTAAAATTTAAAATGATTACCCAAGTGAGTCACATGGCTCCCAACCAACATTCACGGGACTAGAGTGGCAAAGTAATGGTCCATTCGTCAGTCATGGATCTAAGAAAGAACTAAGATCAACAAAATACATTCGCAGACGGAGAATAAATGCCGTTAGCCTAATAATCGACAAGAAATTAAAATTATTATGTTATTTCGTCAATTACTGATGACACAATCCCCAAGAGCCACAGACGATAGAGGGTTAATGAAAATAGTTATCATAATTACACAAAGAGAAGAATTATTGGTAGAAATTATGTGAAGGATAGATAAGGTGTGACTGATATTCGAAGACATTAAAATCATAGTGATAAAGGACACATATTCTCGGCAATTTGTTCCAAAGTTCTGCAGAAATGGTTTTCTGAGTGGAACTTTCTGCTTACCAATAGAATAAAAATCATTAGGTATGAGAATATTTCAATCATCTGTACTTGGTGTATTGGGTCATAACTGACAAGTTCTAATTACCTTCACTTTCGAACTAACACATTTTAAATAAAGAGGAATCGGACTGTTTGTCTGTCTAACCATAGGTAATATAGTATAATATACAGAGGCAAAGAGAACATTCAAGATATTCCAAAAGAGTGATAAATTATCGAATGAGAACTTGTCATTTTGGCTATATTGGTCATCTCAAAAAATCAAGTGGTTTCTGTCTTAAAGAAAACAATTTTTTTGCTTTCAGCATCCGAAAAGGCAACCCTTACTTTTTTTTATCTATGTGGATATATAAAAATATATATTTATACATATTGTTCATATATATTTAGACAAAGAAATTTTTCTCATACATAGGGAGAAAGGCAGAGAGATATGAAAGGATTAAAATAGATAGATAGATAAAGAGAAAGAAACAGACAGAGTAAAAAAGTAAGCATAAAAGACACAATAGATAGATAGATAGATAGATAGATAGATAGATAGATAGGAATAAATAGATTCAGATAGATAGGAAGGAACAGATTCAGATAGATAGATAGATAGATAGATAGATAGCAATGGACAGATTCAGGCAGATAGATAGATAGATAGATAGAGAGAGAGAGAGAGAGAGAGAGAGAGAGAGAGAGAGATACAGACTGAGATAGAGAGATAGACGGATATGAACGGAGTGCTATGAAGTGATGGAGATATATATCAACATAAATCTATTTTTCTACAAATATTTACATAAGCGTATATATATATATATATATATATATATATATATATATATATATATATATGTGTGTGTGTGTGTGTGTGTGCCTGAATAGACAGTTTTTACATACATACACACACACACACACCTAAACATATATATATATATATATATATATATATATATATATATATATATATATATATATATATATTCGTTAGTATTCCTGTATTTTCTCCATACATGCCTAAACAAACATTATTTTCTTTGTGCATACTTTGATAATTGTATTGATATTTACCTCGGTGTATACATGTTAACTCAACGTGACGCAGGAAGAACACCAACCGGGAGATAAGTGTGAGTACGCATGCGCAAAGTCAAGTATTCACTGGATAATGATTTGACCGGCATTAATTGGAAAAAGGGACGATTTAACAGTAGAAGAGAGAAATAAAGGGGGAAAAAAGTAAAAACAAATAGGATTTAGCGGGGGAAAAAGGCCAGGTAAACAACAGAAAGAAAGAAAGGAGTTCGGTAAAAAGGAGGAACGAAATGGTAAACGACAAACGAGACTGGGTCTGTCAGAGGTGCAGGGAGCTATGCGAAAATGGAAAGAAAAGAAGACGGAAGAAAGACTGAGAATTAAAGGAAAAGAAGAAGAAAATATGAAGTCAGATAAATATGATTGAGTTCATTATTGAATATTTTTTAAGTTGACAAGAAAGTAAAAAAAGTAGCGAAAAATTTTAAAGCAAGAAAACGACGTTGAACCAAAATGAACTGTGAGTAATAGACAAATGAGAGATAAATACAATAAATTATATATATATATATATATATATATATATATATATATATATATATATATATATATATATATATATATAGCTAATATTAGTGGTAAATGTACACATACATATAAAAATATATAAATATATATACATAGGTGCATACACATACATGTATATTTGTTTGAATAAAAATTTCAAGAGGATAGAATCCAGGTAGAACTCAATATATATCGATTCGTGCTATAATTGTTTTATTTATTTTCAAATGTATATAGAAACGTTGTACATACCTCAGACATCGCCAACTTCACACCTATTTTAGCTTATGCCACAATACTCACCTTTTGTCTTTATTCATATTTAGATATATTTTATTTATCTGAATGTTTACACATACACGTACGCACATTATATATATATATATATATATATATATATATATATATATATATATATATATATATATATATATATATGTATGTATGTACCGAGTGAAACATCAAAATTTTCCGAATCGTGTAAAAAATAAAATTGTCCAATTGTTAGATTAACCTTTGAATCGTTGTATCTTACAAATGATTAAAATTATCTTACGGGAATTCTCCGACGTTTTTTTTTTAACACTGTTGGATTATTCTTTGAGAAATAAAATTTAAAATTTCTCTCAAAGCTTAACGGAAAATGAAATCGATCTTAAACCAAAAATGACACGTACATTAGTAATTAATCATAACTAAGAATAGAAATTTCATGAAGGATTGAAATGCAGTTCAAATACATATATATATATATATATATATATATATATATATATATATATATATATATATATATATATATATATATTATCGGATCATTATCGAAATATTCAAAATGATCCTCACCCTCTCTAACCTTTTAACTTTCTGTCTTGGAGTAATAAGTTGCCTGACAGGTTTCATGTACGATTTCATTTTCACCTCTTTTTCATTGCACTTACTGACCCTCTTCTCTCACCTACCATATGTCTTATTGACTGAGTTAGATCTTTTCTCATTGATATTTTCAGCTCTTAGTATAAATCATGATCCCTCTTCCTGATGTGACCCTCCTGATCCATTTTCCCTCTCTATTGTTCACTCTTTTTTAAATTTATTCACTCTTCTCTTGATGGATCTTCAATGGATTTTGAAAATGGAAGCCATATTATGAATGTTGGTACCATTACTGAAGGATTAAATGATCCTTGTTCATCTCACCATTGCTCATTTGAAAAGACAGTGGGATGACAAAAACGATTTTATTCCTTTCTAGATGAAGAATTCAAATGGTTTTTCTGTGATTCATGCAACAAATTGTATCAAGATGGCTAAACATTTTATCTGAAGACATGGAAAAAAAACGCGTTCTTGTAGCATACCTACGGACGATAATATGCAATTCCCCATTCACATGAATACAATAGTAAATACTGTATGTTGGTCTACAGTTGGAGATTCATTGTGGAATTCACTTGACTCAATTATAGCAGTTGACTACTTCTGCTACACACCACTGGTGGATCTTATATGTGTTGTTCTTGTCCTAAGTATTATCGTTCATTACCAATGTTCGTGTGATTATTCTATTCAGCAACCTTCCCGATACATATATATATATATATATATATATATATATATATATATATATATATATATATATATATTCGACAAAAGAAAGGAATTTAAAATAAATAGACAAATCTTGTCTATATTATTTAATGAAACATACATACACATACACACACACACACACACATATATATGGGGCGTGTGTGCGTGTGAATATATATATATATATATATATATATATATATATATATATATATATATATAGTTGGATTGATGTGAGTTTGTGATCTTGGGTTTCACGCTTTTGCGATCGTCCAACCAAATATGTTAGCTCTATCTCTGATATTGAACGCTTTCTAATAAGTACCGCGCATATCATATATAAATAATTATATATATATATATATATATATATATATATATATATATAGAGAGAGAGAGAGAGAGAGAGAGAGAGAGAGAGAGCGAGAGAGAATGGTTAAGGGTAAGTGAATGAGTAACATTCATAAACATATGGTAGATATTTATAGTGAGGGATATAAAAAATGTAACAAGATTGTCGTTCTTTGCTTTTGTTAGAAATGTATCGACAAAGAAAACAATGTAAAATTCATAGAAAGAAAAGATGTCGCCTTAATTCGTCGCTAGGTCGGAAAATCTCCTCAGGACTTCAATAAACAAGGCGAAGAAATGATTTCGGTCTTGATGACATCGTCATGTTGCATGTCACGTTCAGCCTCCGATGTTGATTTCTATCATGAAAGACAACTAAAATAAAAGAAAGATAAACGAAATTAACCAACACGGAATGACAAAATGACTGATGCAGGACACGGTTGCAATGGGAACTTCATTGACACTTCAGGGCTTGTGTGTGTGTGTGTGTGTGTGTGTGTGTGTGTGTGTGTGTGTGTGTGTGGTGCTCGTTGTCCAGGGATAAGGGATATCGATTGCTGATCCGCTGTCAGAGGATCTATGCCTGGTAAGTAGCTAAGATGATCGGATTGGGTCAATATGTGGCGAAGATTCACAGATTAGAAAGACTGTTGCAAAGAGAATCAAATTATTTTCCAAAAACCATCTTTAGAAATCTAAACATCATTGTAAGGCTCACTATATTTATATATATATATATATATTTGAAAAAAAACTATCATTGTCTGTCAGTGATACATGCAGTAATCCCTTAACACTGAAATCGATTACTTTTCTGCTTTTCATTTTATTTCTATTGTGAATCCATTTATATATATATATATATATATATATATATATATATATATATATATATATATATATATATATGTTTTTCTGATGTTTAACCATTGTTTTTTGTGTGTAGTGACAACGCAATTTATGTTCAAGAAAAAATTACTACTACACAAAAAAGCAATGGTTAATCATCGGAAAACATCTGGAAAAAATATGTGGAAATATCCACTCTTTGCCTGGTGATGTACGCAGACCGGAAACCCGTGTTGCAAAAATATGGAAAGTAAAAGTATAATATATATTTAAAAAAATCCACATTATGACAAAAATGTTTGCGATTTCTATCTTATCCTTAATATATATATATATATATATATATATATATATATATATATATATATATATATATATAGGTAGTAATCCGTTGGTATAATCCAGGCGATTCCTATTAATACAACACAGAATTTGAAATATTTTAAAACTTACTCACAAAAAGCGCTTTTCAATAGACAGAACAAATTTTCTTTACAATTGGAAGTTAGATACCTTTAGTAAATGAGTATTTTCTCCTACGAATTTTTATTTTAAAATTCGCATAATTTTTCTGTTTCTGGTATCAATTTGTTGTATACTGTTCATTTGGTGAAAGAAAGAGAGTGAGTGTGTTATAGGAGACTTATTGGGAGGTATGGGGAGAAGATGAAGGCATCGTTACTGGAATCATATTATGGAGGTAGGGGTCTAGGTAAGGGGGAGGGGAGTGGAGAACGATGGGCTGACCTCCATCCTAATGGTCACACGGTCAAAATTTAATTCGACTGAATTCACGGATATTAACGAAAACGAGAAAGAACAATCAAAAGGTAACTTTGGTAAAATGAAAGAGAGTTTATTCGGAATTATTGGTTTGAAACTCGTCTATATATCAGAGTTCAAAGTTTCGTGGGAGTGTTTTTAAAAATTTGGAGTGAATTTGGATATATATGTATGCGTTCTTACGCGTTTGTCCACGTAAATTATACCTACTCGTATAGCTGTCTGCACTAACATACACTTAGATATCTACATTTAAGCACCTACATACATACGTTAGCTGAATTGACCTTTTACACCCTACCTATTAAATTCTTGTATTAACTTATGCACCCTATGTTAAATATTAGGAAGTCTTCTAATGGTAATAAGAATTTGATTACCCAAGATTGGATATGCTGAATTGTATATAATGATTATATATAAGGTATAAGACTGACCTATATATACATATATGAAGAAAAATATACGGAAAAAACAAACAAAAATCCTTATATACAATTATGCTATTTTAATGTTAATATGTCAACGTCGGACGTTTCGGTCTAATAAACCATCTATCTTCAGGACATATTCATAAAATATAATTAACATTATCAATTCAACATGACAAATATATATACATATATATGTGTCTCCTCACGCATACCTAACCCTTATATATATGCACACGCGTATACATGAATACGTACCCTAGCACTCACATATATCCGTATATGCATCCAAATTTAAGAACTTCTTTAATCTTCCGTATCCTGTTGTCATATGTTATTTAATTAGCCTAGAGATTATCTAGTCGTTTGTTATTTTGTCATAATCCATTTGGTGGAGATTTGATGCCCACATGTATTGGATAATCAAGGATATCTCAACAGATAAACCCAAGGAACGGAAAAGGAAATCCAAGCAATTTTAGGACAACAGAAGCAAAGAGACAGGGAAACTTCATATTTACATACGCTCTATCTCTGATCTTGAGCACTTTATCCCATAAATATAGCACACCTTGAAAAATTTATTTCTTCATATATATATATATATATATATATATATATATATATATATATATATATATATATATGAAAATTTCTCCGATTTAACCAGTAGGAAGACAATATTTATGAATAAAATGACAATGGGAAAACTGGTAAGTGCTAACGCGTTTCGTATTTTTGCTTTGATAAAGTCCACATTGGACGAAACGCGTCAGCAATTACCAGTTTTCCCATGTCATTTTTATCATATATATATATATATATATATATATATATATATATATGTCACGTGTTGACCCAAACCTTGGTCATCGTGACCGAGGGTTGTGGTGTCATAACTATCACGGGATTCGAAGACATATGCAGGTTGTAAATTCTTAATGCGGTTCTATGACGTCGTACATGGCCACGTGAGACAAAGGTAAGTTATCACATGAACCATGCGATATATATATATATATATATATATATATATATATATATATATATATATATATAGCATAATGATCATTTAACATGGACACCATCCATCTGTGTCAGTTAAGACTTTTTCTACTCTTTGCCAATTTATCATTTTTATGATTTCTATGAGGCTCCGGGATTTATGGAGTATAGTGTATTTTCAATGATAAATATATTAGATGATTCGTTATGTAACTTCTTTTCTACTACGAATGAATCTCTGAAAAAAGTAACTGGACATACCCTGAATATGTCATGTAAATTCAAGATATGGAATTAATAATTACTACATACTTCAAATACTTCGCTGTTCGAATTACTTATAACCAATTTAGTATGAGAGATAAAGAAGTTGATCATAGAATAGGCCGCACTAGGGATAGTTTCGCCCAACTACACAAGTTGCTACAAAACCAAAGATTAACTCGGACTCTCTAGTCATGTATAAACATTGATATGGATTCTATGCATGGCATCAGACCCATTCAGAATGTTCTTATCTGTCAACTTTATATAAACGCTTTCTCAGATCAACTATTGCAAATGTCTTGGGAATTATGAAGCATATAGGTATTAGTGGAGTCCTCGTGAAATGACCTTACATAATCACAAAGAACTCTATCCAGTAACAGAAATCACATCGTGTGAGGACTCTCAACAGCAGCAACAGCAGAAATGAAAGTCACGTGTAACTTGTAGAGAAAATGATGACATAATCAAAATTTCGACGATCCGCAGTAATTGAAACAAAATTTGAGGGCAGATCTGTAAAATTTACTCGACTTGAGAAACTTATTTTCTTAAAAAAATTGTTTCAAGCGGAAAAGTTTATAAATTTCACCCAATGACAATTTTCTCACAGATGAAGATGAAACTTGAAACAGTAGAAATGTTTTCTACAGAAGGATAATTAGAAATATCACAGGCGGTGCAGGTAAGCAAGGAAGAAATTATTAGGAAAATGGAAACAAAATAAACAGGTGTACTTGGAATTAGAGAGGGAAAATGATATTTTTAGGGTACATTTTGAAGAAAGAAAGCTTGGAGAAATTAACACTCACAGTACATATTAAATGCAAATGTAACATCGAGTATAATACTGAGTAATCTTCTGTAAATGAACCGAAGGACAGAGATGGTGAAAAGTCAGACGTCGCTCTGAGGTACAAAGGAGAGAAAATTGCAGGGAGACGGCACATGAATAAAAAGAAAGCTTTTAATGCGAGTAGGGACAGAAAAAAAATCATTTCATCGGAACTCAACAACAGACAGGTAGGTCTGCATTGCCATGTTTTTAACAAGTTAAAAAGTATTTCACTGTAGCATTTGTTAGAGGTGAAAGGTGATGTCAACTTTTTCGGTAAGAAAAGAAAGTTTTCAAGCAATAGTGATACAGTAAATATCGATTGGTTTGCCAACTAATCGAATTTAAAATGGTTTAACATTTAAATCTGACTTCTGCAAATAAAAGAAACAATGTCGGATATTGATGTATTTTTTTTTTTTTTTTTTGTGAACAGATTTGAAAGAAGAGAAAAGAGAAAAAAATATGCCGGCTTCGAAATCGCTAGTGGACAGATAATCGATTTGAACGTCTTTATTATCTAAAAGCTATTTATTCTCAGATAAAATCGATGGAAAAATTGATAAGTTCTGATAGTTTCTTCTCTGAAGTTTATTATCTTTTACCTTTACGGTACAATCGAAAAGCGACAGCTAATCCAGAGTCTATTTTTCTGGAATATAATTTACGCCATTTTACATTTCTTCTTCAGAAAAATCATTGTGAATTATAGCATTTAGTAGATTGTGGTTGGAAATATGTTTGTTTAATCAACTCCTGTTCGCTAAAACTACCTAAAAACCAGTTTCAAAATGAAACTTACGTACAAAATACTCGCCATCTTCTTTTCTGTGCTTTGCCTCATAGCTCTATACAATTTGACTTTTGTTTCTTTAAGCGAATACTATCTTTTTACCATTCATCTTACACCAAACATAAGACTGTTATTATAGTAGGAGACCATGGCTTCCTATAACATCTTTTTTCGTTGTTCAAAATATCATTTGACATACTACTACTAATTATATGCATAACTTGTCTTCAATATATCTTGAGAGTGTCAGATTGTTCAATGCTCTTTCCTTCATGATGCCTTCAAGAAGTTCCAACAATTTATTTCCTACATTAGAGCTGCATAAATATCGCTTCTAATATTAGTCAATTCTGCGAGTTCTTGTCTTGAACTAATTGGCGCTGATAAATTTGTTGTGAATGGTGAAATTCTTAGTGCTGATTTATTGTGGCACGAGGACGAAAATATGAGGCACCCAGTGAGGATCGAACTCACTAAGCAGTCGTAATTGTTCGAGCCACGCAAACTTGGTAATAGTTACACTGCGCCGGTGACAACAGTCCCACGTTCTTATTCTTCGTCTTTTTTTTCATTTTCTTTTTTCTCTTCTTTTTTTATTCTTCATCACCCTTCTTCTTCCTCTTCTCCCATTTCATTTCTACTTGTTCCTCTTCTTATTCTTTTTCTTCTCTCTCCTCTTCATCTTCTTCTTCTTCCTGCATTTCTTTTCCCCGTCATCTTCTTTTTCTTTTTCGTCTGCTTCTTGATATACATACCTGATGAGTGTCAAGTGACAACAAACCTCCTTAAAATTTCTCCAAATACAACGCAAACAGCTAATTGTTCTTTCCGCTTGAAATAGCATTTCACGATCCTTCCTAATAATCCTATGATTATAGCCACTACTTTCGTTTTGTTATATTATAGATTTCACCCTGCTGTTCTTCTTAATATTGTTGCATCTTACATTTTGTGATTGCAAGAGGAAAGTGATCTCAAGAGAAAATGAATTTATTTATTCCTATATTTCTCTCAATTTTTTCTTACTTTCTTTTGATTTTTCTTCCTTTCATTATTTCAACTAATGTTTTCCTTTCCTACTTCCCTCTTCTTTCTTTCTTTCTTTCTTTCTTTCTTTCTTTCTTTCTTTCATTATCCTCTCTTTCATTCTGTCTTTCTACCTTTCTTTCATTCTTTTCTATTCAAGTCTTCCTTTTCTACTTTTCTTCCTTAGACCTTTTTCTTCTTTCTTTGTAATCTTCTTTCTTTCTTTCTCCTTTCTTTCTAACCTTTTTTATATCAAATTTTTCAACTCAGTTGTTTTGGCTTTCTTGGTTGATTAGTTGGTTGTTTGCGTTCTCTCTCTCTCTCTCTCTCTCACTCTCTTCTTTCTTTCTTTCTTTCTTTCTTTTTATTCTCCTTGCTTCTTGCTCTTTCTTTTTTCTTTTCTTACATTCTTTCTTTCTTTCTTTCTTTCTTTCTTTCAGTCTTTCTTTCTTTCTTTCTTTCTTTCTGCTTTTATTCTGTCTCCATTTTCGTATATATTAAACTTTATTTTTAATTCGTTGCATCCATTTTATCTTCCTTCGAACTTCCCCCTTCACTTTATTTGTCTCGGAATAATATTATTTGATGGCGTAAACATTCGAAGAATATACAGTTTTTGACAGATGCCAGTTAAACGACAAACGAAGCTTCTACGTATATGACGCAACTCCCACGCAAACTCATATATATATATATATATATATATATGTGTGTGTGTGTGTGTGTGTGTGTGTCTACTAACATGTGATGGCATGCAACAGAAAACAATTTATCGTGTGAATGTCAGCGTGTGCGCGGATTTCTTTGCGCATGCGTTTTAATGAAATACCGTAATACCATTTTTTGAAGTCCTTCAAAAATGATTATTTTTGCTTTGTCATTAGTTGCTATTTACTCTTTTTGCCCTCTTAGAAAATGAAATCCTGCAATTAAAATCTTCTGAGGCAGATGATAATAATAATAATAATAATAATAATAATAATAATAATAATAATAATAATAATAAATGTTTTTAAGAAACAATAAAATGTTTGATTTATTTAATTTTATTTACGTTCTTTTTTTTATATTTTTCTTATTTTTTCTTTCCTGCTTGATTTGCTTCTTTTGTTTTACTTTTCTTTTCATTCAAGCTTTCAGATTTCCTTCTTGATTTCCATTTTACCTTCTCTTATTTTTCATCTTTTCTGTGTTATAGATTGAATACTTTGTCGTCGTAAGAATACAATTCTTTTTTTTTAATTCGTTCTATTTCCTTTGTTATGACTTCTTTCTTTCTGTCTTACTTTCAATATTTCTTTGTTCTATATTCATCCGACATTCATTTCTCGGTTTATTATAAGTTTTCTTTTCATCCGTTGTCATTTATTTTCCTTTCCCTCGTTTTCTTTTTTCTTCTTCTTATTTTTTTTTTATTCTTTGTTCTTCACTAAGGTTTTCTTTCATTTCCTTTCTTTCTTTTTAAATTATTTTATTTCTTCATTCATTTTTCATTTCTTCTTTTCTTTTTTTTTCTTTTTTTATAATTCGCTTTCTTTTAATTTACTTTTCATCCTGTTTCCTTGGCTTCTCTGATTTTCTTTCTTTTTTCTTCTTTTATATTCTTTCTATATCCTTTCTCTTTCATTCATTTCTTTTTTTCTTTTTTTGTTGTTTTACGATTTCTTTCTGTTGTCTTCCATTAGTTTTTTCTTTCTGCCTATTTTTAAAATGTCTTTTGTCCTTTTTGGGGATGGAATTGATATCACTTATTTTCTTGTCTTTTATTCTGTCTCCATTTCAATTTTAATTCTTTCTATTTTCCACCAATCCACTCGCTGCTAATATTATCTCCTATTTCTTCTAATTATTCCTTCTGTCCAAATCATTTTCCCTTTATTTTTTATTTTACATTTTATTTATTCCTAACATCTTTTCATTCGTTAGTCTTTCTTTCCTCTTGTTTTTACCTTCTCTCACAGTGCATTTATAATGTTTTGCAGGTTTTTTTTTTGTTTCCCTCTTTCTTTCCCGCCAATATTTGCTTTCATATTTCTCTCCAGACTATATCTACTTTTTTCCTTCGTTTGTTCATTTTCTTCTTTGATTTTGATTATTTTTCCCCTTCCTTTTTTTTTTCTATCTCAGTTCAGGGATTGTAAAATTTGACAAAGCTGTGTTGTCGTTTCCCCACGCTAAGTGCTAAGTGAGGCCTTAGCAGACCTGACGGAAGGTTAAGTAGGAATGACGGGGCGTTCACGACTTAAACAAATGGAATAGGTGAGAGTGGTAGAAGAATACACTATGGCGCCATTGTTTCAGTGTGAATGCGCATGTGCGTCGAAATAACACTTCATAGTATTTAGTGCTAAACACACGCATTGCAACTAACGTTTAAATGTGTTCTCGCAAGTTTACACCTCGTAATTGTTATTATTACTCACACGCTTATATCGTCATATATAGGTAGAATCTATCATACATTCCACTTAATATGGTTTCAAATTAACACATGTACACATTTTACGCAATTGTAAAACACGTTATATGACATGGAGAATATAAGCATAAAATAAGTTAATATGCATTCTATCCAGTCGGGTCTTAAGGAGCATATGCAGTATGTTCCAGGAAATTCTTACGGTCAGCTGAAGTTAGCAGAAATATACAGATCTTATGTAAGAGTATGGGAAGTCTTTGTTGGATTTCCTTCTGAGTTGAGTTAGAAAGATTTCAACCTAACCCCTATTAATCACCTGACAGACACGGGCTAACTTTTGCGGCCGCATTTATATGAAAAGACTATATTGAATCAATTGGTCCGTCTGCTGCTAAGAAAGTTGGATAACTGTGTCGTAGAAGATAATTTTTCTCTCCAGAATCTATCTTACATATCTATAGGTCTACCATTCACCCATGCTTTGAATATTACTGCCACATATGGCCCAGTGCTCCTACTATATATTTAGATATTCTAGGTATAATAAAAAGAAGAATCAGCAATATTGTTGGTCCTGACCTGGCATCTCGGCTTCAGTCGCTTTCTCACCGCCGTAAAGTTGCTTCTCTTTGACTTTTCTAGAATTAATTTTATGCTAATTGTTTGGGAGAGATCTTCGCTATAGTACTTAAGCTTTATGATTTTAAGCGTAGTACTAGATTATCAAAAATCCGTTTAATCCATTTCATGTTGAATCGGCTAGATGTAACTATAATAACTTCCTATTGTAAAGTTATTGTACAACACACACTCGGGATAATGTAATTCATTAAAGTATTCTCTATATGTAATGCTTAGGCTATTGTCGTAACGCCTCTATAGTTAGTATGAAGACTGACTCCAATATGACAAGTATTTACCAACTCCTCTCCAAAAAGTGGGATGTGGCACAAGGCCGGGTTTTATGTGTAGCGATTCCGATCCCGGAAGCTAGGGTAAAAATTCACCTTAGACGCCACATACATGTGAGCGGGTTTGTTTACCTACCTAAACGAGAGTCTGCCCGTAGGCACAGGCTCGTCTGGCTTCCTCTCTGTCCAAAGGTAGAGCTTTCGAAAAGTCTATCGCGAGCTTGGCAGTGAAATGCCTGAATCCAATACAACTGGTATTTACCGGTCGCCTCATTGCGTACTAGATGTCACACAACTTCAAGATTTATGTGGGGATCCCGAGCGATTCTACCAGGGCAACTAATCAAAATTTACCCAGCCGCCGCAAAAGTGGTCCCGGGTGAAGTACTTGTCTATTTTTCTCAGTTGAGTCTCTATTTGAAGACAGACCACCCTCTGCCCGAAGACAGAGGTCTTGACAGTCGCAAACCAAACAGCGAACTTCCTGACTCCATCTTATGTTTCTTCAGCTGAGTCTGTATCCTAAGACTGAAAACAGACTGAATCATCTTCTGCCCGAAGATAAAGGTTTTGTCTTCTCTTGTCATGAGTGGGACAAACTGCGATTTGACTGTTATTTACCCAAAACTGCCCACAAGGCTGAATGAGGCAGTTTTTCTCAGCCGATTTCACTATTCAAATAAAGGACCTCGACTGAGTCACTCCGCACGAAAACGGAGGTCTTGTCACCCTCTACCAAAAGACAGAGGTTCGTGTTGGCGATACCTCCGATTCGATTGGTATTTACCCAATACTCCCCATAAGAATGGATGTGGCCCAAGCCGGTTATATGTGGGACGATTTCTAGCACATAGGATTAAGAAAAATTCCTCTTAGATCACCGAATATACAGTCGGGTTTTTTCTTCTGCCCCAGAATAGACAGTGTTTCTTTGGCATAGTCTCGTTTGGGTTCCTCTCTGTTCGAAGACAGAGTTTGACAGGTTTGTCGCGATCCCGGCAGCGAACTACCAGAATGCGATTCAACTGTGGACCGGATACGACACCAGGTCAAGCTTACTGTGAGGAACCCGAGCGCTTCCACCCGGACCACTGGTATTTACCCCAAACTTCCCACAAGGCTGAATGAGGCACAAAGCCGGTTTTATGTAGGGTAATTCCGAGCCAGTAGACTCGAGTAAACATTCCTCTTAGATAACGCGGGGTCGTCTGTAGGCATGGCCTTGTTTGGTTTCCTCTCTGCCTTCGGGCAGAGAGTTCGAAAAGTCAGACGCGAGCCAGGCAGGAAACTGCCTGACTGCGATTGGACTGGCATTTACGAAACCACAACACAAGACAGGAGGTGGCACAAGGTCGGTTTTTGCGTTAGACAATACCGAGGGCGGAGCCTCGGGCAAACATTTCCCGTAGACCCCGCATACACGGGTCGGGTTTGTCTACCAACCCAGACGAGACTGTGTCCGTTGGTATAGGCTCACCTAGGTTTCTCTATGACCGAAGGCCGTGAGTTCGACCAGCCTGTCGCGGACTGCCTGACTTCGGTTTGACTGATATTCACCAAACCTCCCCACAAGGCAGGATGCTAACAGTTTCGTCTCTCACACATCTCGCTTGTGGAATACTCTTCGGGCTCCATGCTTTCTAGACAACTTAAAAAAATTAAATGAAATGTCAATCGTTATCTACTGATTCCCTTCCTCTCTTTGAGTATCGATCTTTCGTAATATTTCTGTTTTCTATTTCTTTCACACGCAGTAATCACTTGTGGCTTTAATGCCTTTGGGGGGGGGGGGAGTGGGGGGTAAATTCGATTACTAGAAAGAAGCAGATAGCATTGATTTAGAGAACCAAAAAACAAGGATCTCATTTTTTCAAAAAGGCATACAAATAAATACCGACTCCCGTAAACCATTAAGTTCCTTGCGGTGCCTCTTGGGAAAGATAGTCAAAATGGGCCCATATCCTTCTCTTAGACTGGCTGCATTTGTTTGTTCATTCCTTTATTTGTTAATTACTTATGTTTTAAATAACTTATATTTGGAGTGTCTTATTTGTTTACTTTAAAGTGACGACTTTGTGTAGAATAGTTTGCATTATGTGCATTCTATTGACGACGTATATTGCATTTTTTTTCAGATTTTATAAAAGTTATTCGAGAAAACACGTCTTCCCTACACAAGTTTAGGCATACAGGTGTTTGTTCAACTCTCACAAAGTAATAATATGTAAAGATCAGCAGTTTAAAACAAGACAGTACACTAACATTCTCGGTCACAATGACTTTTACTTCGTTTAATCAATTTCACTCACAAGGCTTTGACTAACTTGTTGTTTGGTATTCAGGTAATTTCGAAAAGTGCAGCATACTGATATTGTCTCCCTAATTGCTAATATTAGTGGTAAAAATACATATGCAAAATATATAAATATATATACATAGGTGCATACACATACATGTATATTTTTTTAATAAAAAATTCCATGAAGATCAAATGTAAATCAGATATGGATAAGAATCTGACAAGACGAAAAAATAATGAACAAGCAGGAAATGTATCTCAATCTAACATGTTTTACTTCTATTAAAAATTCGTCAGAGATCGGAATAGAAATGAGAAAAGTAACATGTCTTTGGTTTTTCATATCTATTGTCGATCTCTGGTGAAGCCTTAGTTAATATGAAACATGTTAGATTGAGATACGTTTCCTACTTGTTCTTTATTTTATTTTTCATATATATATATATATATATATATATATGTGTGTGTGTGTGTGTATGTGTGTGTGTGTATGTGTAAAATATGTATGTACTATTCTGATGTTATTATTGTGAGCATATAGGGGATGCGCTCTCATTAAATGGAGTAAAAAGCCTTGCCAGCTGTGAAGTCTTTCTTTTCTAAAAAGTAAAACATATAAAGGGCGTTGAAGGTGCAAAATCTTCTGAAAGAGACATTTTATCTGCTCCGATTTCTACAATTTCAGGCTGGTAGACGTAAGTCACACTATTCAATAAATAAGATTGTGCTTCTATTCCATGGCTTAGATAGATGGACCGATAGATATTCATGACGATGATTGATACTTCTTTACAAAAGAAGACCATCTCTTCATTAGTAGCTTTATAGTGTTTTATTCAGCACTGTTTCCATCATTGATATCCCAGCTGTGACACTATTTAGTGGTCGCGTGAAAATGAAAAGCGAGAAATAATTAAGACGATAAGAAGCTATCGCAAAAAGACATATTCGTAAAATACTGGATCTGTCGAATTAATTTATGTTACGGCGCGGCGAAAGATGATAGCAATCTGTTTATGGCAATAATGAAAATTGGTCAAGTGGCCTACGAAACAGAAGCTGGGAGATACTGATAATCAGGTCACGCGCTGACCGAGAAAACCAACTGTGAGGCCACCAAGAGAGAACGGGAAAAGAATGAACCATTAACTATCCTTCGGAGATAACATTGGTTTGAAAAAAAAATCACCTGTTTTATTGTCCAAACCTGGACATGATAAAAGTTTGTATCGGAAGAGATAATTAGCGACAAAATGCAAATACGTCCAGTTAAACCAGCCACTTGACGCTGGCGAAAATCTCGATTGATAAAGTCCAGGTGACATTCGGTTAAGATAGAGATTAGGGACCACACCGCGAGTCGTGGGAGGTCTGCTCTGGGAAGAGAAAGAAAGAAGAAAAAAAAAAGAGAAGATTTTTTTTTTTCCTTTGAGCGAAAATTTTAAACTGAGGCCGGTCTGGCCACACCCACGCTGTTGGGCGTTCATTGGATGAAGGGTAGCGTGAGC